GGCCGCCAGCCATGTCCTCCACCAGGACAGCGGCCTGGGCTACAAGGACTTGGACCTCATCTTCTGCGCTGACCTCAAAGGGGAAGCCGAGTTTCAGACTGTGAAGGACGTGGTCTTGGACTGCCTCTTGGATTTCTTGCCCGAGGGGGTGAACAAGGAGAAGATCACGCCGCTCACCCTCAAGGTAAACCTGCCCCGTGTGCCCAGGTGCCCAGAGCAGGCAGGTGCAAGCGCCTGCCTGCGGGCAGCGGGCACCTTCCCCTCCGGGAATGGAGGGGGACCCTGAGGGGCGCAGCTCCCACCACACCCCGAGACCCACCGGGGACCGTGAGTGATTTTTTCACCCCACGGTTAAACCGAGGAGGAGTTTGCAGTAAAGCGTCCTTGTTGGGGACTCCTCTGGATTAATTAGTCTTTCCTCCCTCTCTCTCGTTTGACTTGCTGGGAGCGTTCACTCGCTGGGAGCATTGACTTACCTGTGCAGGGCACTGCAGATCTTCCAGCTCGGCTCTGCGGCAGCTTGGTTTGCCAGACACGCTTCCCGGGGTGGCTCTGGGGGGAACTTGGATGGCTTTAATACCTGTGAGAAGGAAACCCCATATGCAAGGCACGCTTTCTCATGTGCTGAATGCCCGAGGAGAGGCATATTCCCTCCTCTTGGAGATAGTTGGCTCGAGTTAATTAGGCTGAATGCCATTAAGATTTTTTAGAGGGATTTTTGGAATATGGGGCAGATTTGTGGAACCTGCAGTGAAAGGGCACGGTTGAAAGGAGTGAACACTTGCTAAGTGTTTCTATAGGTAGGGGAGAAAGAAGTGGAAAGCAATAGAAAAGATTTCTTAGCTGATTGTAGCAATGACCTTTTGTGGGGGGGTGCATGCGTAGTTGGCATGCGTGCCATGGGCTTCATGTGTAGATGTATTTAGAAGTGATTTAAAGAAGCAGTGTTGCCATATGCTTCCCTTGCACAACACGGTCCTGGCAGAACACCCTCCCCTGCCATCCCCTTGCAATGACAGCACTCTAGGCTCTCATGTTAAGCATTTCTCCTCTGGTTTGTTCTGCAGGTTCCGTGAAATCCTTTATGAAATGCAAGGACAGGGAGCTAGGGGGGGAAATGCAAACAAATGCAGTGGACAGGAAACTTCTTGCATCTGTGCCTTCATTTGCTCATTTTGTCTTTCCAATTATAGGAGGCTTATGTGCAGAAAATGGTAAAAGTATGCAATGATTCAGACCGATGGAGTCTCATCTCCCTGTCCAACAACAGTGGCAAAAATGTGGAGCTGAAATTTGTGGACTCTCTGAGGCGGCAGTTTGAATTCAGTGTCGATTCCTTTCAAATCAAGCTGGACTCCCTGCTGCTTTTTTATGAGTGCTCAGAGAATCCAATGACTGAAACGTTTCACCCGACTATCATTGGTGAGAGCGTCTATGGGTGTTTCCAGGAAGCCTTTGATCACCTCTGCAACAAGATAATTGCCACCAGAAACCCAGAAGAAATCCGAGGAGGTGGTCTTCTGAAGTACTGCAACCTTTTGGTAAGGGGCTTTAGGGCTGCCTCCGAGTCCGAGATTAAGTCCCTGCAGAGATACATGTGTTCAAGGTTTTTCATTGACTTCTCAGACATTGGAGAACAGCAGAGAAAGCTGGAGTCCTACTTGCAGAACCACTTTGTGGGATTAGAGGACCGCAAGTATGACTATCTCATGACCCTTCACGGTGTGGTGAATGAGAGCACAGTGTGCCTAATGGGACATGAGAGGAGACAGACTCTGAATCTGATCACCATGCTGGCCATCCGGGTCCTAGCCGAGCAAAATATCATCCCCAATGTGGCCAATGTCACCTGCTATTACCAGCCAGCCCCATACGTAGCAGATGCCAACTTCAGCAATTACTATATTGCCCAGGTTCAGACCGTGTTCCCTTGCCAGCAGCACACATACTCTACTTGGCTGCCCTGTAATTAAGGACTGAAATTAGTAGACCCAGTGGGGAGAACATTTTCTAAGACCTAGGAAGGGGCGGCGCGTCCCTTTGAAACGGGGTGTTTTGTGCAATCATGATCTGCTCTAGTTTTCAAGCTTGGGAAAAGCTTGTGGTTCTTCTAATAAATAACGGGAGCATGATTGAGAAAGAACCCCAGAATAATTGGATTCTAGCCCAGAGCACAAGAGGCCTGTCATTAAGAGCAACCAGCTTCCCCTGAAATATGTGAGGGAGGAATGCTTGATGACAATATGGGTTGGCAATATCTGCTCCCATAGCTTTGGCATAAAGTGGGAAGGCCTTATTTTCTTTTATTTTTTATTCTTACTCTAGAATGGGATCTGCAAAAGGGAGAATATGAAAGAAAACAAAACAAAAAAAAAAAACAAAAAGAAAAAATTAAAAAACAATTCTATGTATGTATTCAGGAGTTAGAGGCATAAAGCAGAGATAAGCTGAATAAAAATGTATATTGGAATTACTGCATTTGGGGCTTGCAGCAAGTGCCGTCTATGAATTGACCGTATAGAATGTATAGCTTGCTTGACTAGAACGCTTTACCAGAAACAGCTTGCTCCAAATGAACAGTAGTGGATTGGTACGGTTATAGAAACAGAAGCACGTACGGTGGCAAAGTCCATTCTTTCCTGCTGTGTGCATGCCTCACATTTTAAAAATGTGAGAATGCAGGAAAGCCAGCTGTGGCAAACAGAATATACTCAAGGACCAAAGATTTCACAGATAAGTTATCCGAGCAAAGAAGATACAGTAGAGTATATATATATATATATATATATAAAAGAAAAGAAAGATGTTGCTATATTTGTACACACCAACAGTAATCAAAAGTGCCTGATGCCTTCATAAAATTTGAAGTGAGAAAAAAAATATAGTTTTGTGGTTTAACCATGCATTTTGTTTTATCAGGGACACGGATTAAAAACAAACCCCATAAGCTTGTGAATAAGTGGTGGAGGAAATGCCCTATTTTTTTTTCTTGAAAAATACCTGTATAGAGTTAATGTTATGTCAGTGTGCTATTATCCTAGGTACGTGTGTGTATGTGTGTATATATGTTTGTGTGTGTATATATGTATATGTTATAAGTGTATATCTATATATATACACACACAATATATATTAATGTGGTCTAGGATTATGTAGCAATTAAGGAATGTTTAAATAACATACTAAGTGTTTTCCAGTTTGCAACAGGATGTCATAGGACAGTGGGCACCTTGCAGTGAATTTTTAACCCACACCTGAGAAATCTGGAGTAAATGAACCAGTCAGGATTAAGGTGGGATTCAGATAATGTCTTTGGTTGCAAGAACAAGGATTACAGTAATTCAGTGGGTTGCTTGTGAGCCATAATAATTCCACAGATGGAGAAGCATATGACTAGCTGATTTTTTTTTGAACTATTTTGTACTGTAATGCCATTTTGACATTTAACCCACTAATGTTGTGACTGCATACCTCCATGATGTGTAATTCAGTGGAACGTGGATCAAAGATAGGTTTATTTAAACCCCCTGACAGCTAAAGAATATTGTATTAGTTGGTGATTTGAACACTAATTGTTAATATTTAAAGGAGTATTTTTAATAGAATGCATTAAGCATTCCAGGACCACTAGAATTTAGCAAATGTGAAATGAACCGTTTTTAAGAGTGTTGCACGATTGCTTAAAATTATATTTTATATATA